TGCTTCTTGTCATGATCGGTAAGTAACGGAAAAATCAGTCGTCAATTCAGTATATACATAATGGACAATTAGTATGAAAATCGTCGGTCAGCATTTGACTCAATGATAAATTGTATTTGCTGATAAGGTCATTGTATCAACCACAATACATACGAAATGATAATTTTAAACGAAACCGCTGGAATTCTTGTTTTAACAACTTGTTTGTTAATAATTTACCTCTTTTTAGAAAATGCTTATACGTAGAGTATGCTCGATGACTATCACAATCCGAGTCTTCTGTCTTCTGTATCGTTTTTCCGATATGGATATGTAGTATGGGGGCCTTCTTTGTGTCATATCTAATATGAAATGGTATTCTACAGATTTAATAATAATATTATTGTTAAGAATTGCAACTATTTTTCTAGCTGTAACTTTGCGATATCTCATAACAAATTGCGCAACAAAGGACACATCTCTTCCCCAGCTGGCTTCGCTGAGCTACAAATCAAACGTCATTTTTAACAATCTCCCTCCCTTCATTTTCACAGTCAATCCAATTTATGATTCAACGTCTGGAAAGTCTATTGTATTCATAAACCTTGTTCAAATTTTAATAAGATACTTCTAATGAATTCCCAAGTTATACATTTAATTTTAAGTTCGTCGCTCGAGTAAGACTATGACAACCATTTTTGTCAGGAGTCACCTACATATTGACGTCATATCACATTGTGACGTCACAGTGATGGAAAAAATCATTACTTTTCATATGCTATTTATAGATCATGCGCATTACTATATTTTTGCCAAATTTCATTCTGATCTGAATTGTAGTTTTGTAATTATAGAGATAGTTCGCGAACTTTTTAATCACCCCTCGTATAAGCCCTATGTTGAACAAACCTGCATGGATTATACATCTAAGGATGTACATAACCAGGTTTGCTTCGGATTCTGGATCTGACCTACATTTCACAGATGAGTGCACAGGTTAAAGTTTTTTGAGCAACTGCAGTACAATCTGATCATAAGTCCTGTGTAGACCTAAATTACTTTGATGATGCTTTAAGGCCTGAACCGCAGATCAACATTGCATAAATGTTGCATCTTGAGATGTACACTACTAGATCATAAGTTAAGTGTGGGACTTTACCTTACTTAAAGATAACATTCGTTGAGGTGACCACTGTAATCTCTGATTACCTATATTTTATTATATATCACCTTTTATGGTTAAAATGAATAATTACTAGTATTCATATTATCAATTAAGAAATGATTTTGGGTTCACGATGATATATTTGTACAAACATCTTTTAACAGGGGTCTTTTCATGTGTGGCACATGGTGCAGAAGAACAGAAAATTGGTATAAACCAAGAACCATATGAAACACAAGCCATATGAGAGCCTTAACCAACAAAGAAATATATGGAGATAATATTCAAGGTCAAAAGTCCAATACAAGTCAGAAGCAGAGCAAACGGGGAAACTTAATAATATCAGAGGTAGGATCCCTTGTGAAGGTAATAATGGTATATTGCAACATATGTACGGAAACATGACGATTGAAAAGTTACTCGTAGATTTATTATGTAACAAGGAGGCCTTTTAGAAAAATGTTTAGAACTATGCAGAATGAGCAAGTGAGCTGGGTTCCATGGGGTCCACTTAAGTGCACAAAAATTTTGACAACAAAGTTTCCAGCCAAGCACCTGAAAAAAAATGCAACATTTTTAGCTCACTTGAGCTTTTCTGATCACCCGTTGTCCGTCGACAGTCCGTCTGTAAACTTTTCAATTTCAACACCTCAGGTAACATTGGGCAATTTTAACCAAGATGAGCCAAGCTCCAAGGCGAGATAATCAAGAAAAGACAAAAATAGGGCGGGGTCATAAAAGTACTCAAGAACCACCGGGCCTGAAAAGCTGAAACTTAGGTGGAAGCATTTTTGGGTAGTGCAGATTCTAAATTATTCAAAATATGACTCCAAGGGAAGGGCAAACCAGAATAGGGAATCCAATTTTTACCTTGAAATATATAGGAAAAATCTAAATAAATCTTCTTCTAAGAACCACTGGACCAGAAAATCTGAAACTTATGTGGAAGCATCCCGGGGTAGTGCAGATTCTAAATTGTTTAAATCATGACCCCCAGGGGTAGGGCGGGGCATCAATATGGAATCCAATTTTTACAGTAATATATATAGATTTTTTTTAAGCACTGGCTCAGAAAAGCTGAAATTTAAGTGAAAGCATCCTGGGGTAGAGTATGTTCAAAATTGTTGAAGTCGTTACTCCTGGGGGTAGGGTGGTGCCACATTGGGTATCATTATTTTACACTAAAAAATATATATTTGGAAATATCTTCGTCTGACAAGCTTTTTTTAAAAAGCCATTGCTTGTGATATATTGTATTTGCTTGAAAGGTCATTGTATTGAATGTGCGAAATGTTTACTGTAAACGAGACTGTGAATATCCTTGTTTCAGCAACTTATTTGTCAATAAATTGTCTCAATAAAGAAATCATTCGTACGTAGAACATAATCCTGCTTATGGAATCAACTGGGAGACATAAACTTCATATGCAGATGATAAGGAGATATATTGCTACGTAAGTAAAGTAAGTTGACGATAGAAAAGTTGAGGTCATCACGTTGATCATGACGTTTTTTTAAGGATAACATTAACAGCTTTCTTATAAAATGATTCAAAGTTAAACAGATGAAGACTCTGTGATACATTTTATTTCAAGCATTACTGGTATACATCAAGTCGACATGTAATAGAAGTAACTATTGTTAATTTAAAATGCGTCATCGATATATCTAAATGTCGAGTTTAAAGCCACAACATGTATATTGTTAGTTCACCTGAGCCTTGATCTCCATATAACATCCATATTTCACTCTAAACACTATATAATTTTTGTTGATCAGAAACTCAAGCATGTTTTAATGTCACCTTCGGGGAACTTGTTAAAACAATTTGATTTTTTTAAACAAAATAATTTTGCAAATGACCAATGACAAGGAAAGTAAATTTACGAGTTCTTTTGTAATAAAAAATATGTCTATGAAGTCAAAAATCCTGGATTTGATTTATCATGGGGAAAATGTATAAAGTGTTGAATATACGTACATTGTGATGTTATTGATTTTGCATCTTCGCTAGCCAAGGGTTTCTGATACGCTACTCTCCTCATGAACCCTTGGCATACGGTGAAGTCAAAAGACGGGATTGTTTTCCGTCACGTGATCTCGAATCTATAATGTACGCACAGATTGCGTCATCGACAGAAATAAAGACGCGTGTTTAAAAAAAATTAAATCAAGGTTTTTTTCAAAAATGATTAAGAGGGATAATTGAGTTATGTTTATTTATTATCTATAGTACAAATCTGGGGCTTCAATATAGATTCTTAATCACATATTTAGAAGATATTGGATGACACCATAGTTATTCATAGAATTGTATCTTATCTTACGGATCGTTGTTAATTTGCGTTTTTCATTTCCGGGATTAAAGAGTCAAGAAGTATCCCGAACGCAAATATCGTCATTTACAAAAAACAATTGCTGATTGGTCGACCGGATGTACTGAATCCCATCAGAACTCGAGAAAAAAAACCCCAATTTCTATCAACACCGTATGCCAAGGGTTCATGAGGAGAGTAGCGTATCAGAAACCCGTGGCTAGCGAAGATGTTGATTTTGGTAAACTTTTGTGAGTTATTCATTCGTTTTTGTATTTCAACAATACATTTGTATAAAGATTAAAGCGAGTTGTTTAATTTCGCTAGTGGTATTTCGCGGCGATAATTATTGATTGATTGTATGTTGTTTTACGTCCAATTCGAGAATTTTTCACGCAGATAGAGACTTCACGATATGCCAGTGAAGGGCTTTATTTTTTTCCTTGCTCGGCACTCAAGGCCATTGAGCAGTGAGATATATTTATCCTGCCAAAGCCTGCGGCGGTATGGTCTCAAGGACAAAGGGCCTGAAACTATTATGCACACGGCGGAGGAGCAGTTCCTACATATATTTTTTATCATTGACTTATGTCAGTCGCAAGCGAGATTCGAACTCATGACCTTCCGATCACAAAGCTGGCAGCGATAATCATTTATTTTTTTCATATTCTTGAATCTACAATCTACAATATTCTGTGATTTTTTTTTTTTCGCATTTCCTTGTTTGCTTCAGTATTTTGTTATCTATACGTTATGCCAACATTTTAAATGAAGCAGAAAAAGTATGCATTAGGTTAGGCCTTTGATTATGTGAAACATATTTAACCTTAATCTTTGCTTGGATATTACTTTCTTTTGAAATATTTCTTATCTACGAAATAAACATGATAAATTGTTAATTATTTTGAAACAACAGTTAATGGTATGCTTTAAATGTTATATCAAAAAAGTTTCTACATTATTTTTATACATGTTTTACAGATTGAATTTTAGATTTAAAAATATCAATTAAATAATCCTTTCCTGCCCTAGAAAATATTAATTTTTCACAAATATAATTACGTGGACAGAGAAATGACATCAGTTGTCAAAATTATCGAAAAAAATTGAGAAAAAATCTTAATATTTTTTTCTAATCTATCTATGTACTGAGTTTCACAACCAGTGTCTTACATCAACAGTTGTAACAGAAGAAAACATTATTTTACAAGATATGGATTATGCCTATACTTTTAGACCGATGATTTAAGGCTTTGATTGAAAAGATTTATCAAATTCTAAGTATCTATGTAAATAAACTATATATTTGATAAGTTTAAAAGCTGTTACCATTTTAGGTATAACGTGATTTTATTTTATTTTTGCGACATGACGTGCAATGTAAAAAAAAATCACATTGTTCTGACTAATGAATTCCCGTTTTTAGATTGGCCATCATGACATTTGAAGTATTGAGTTATAAATCTCTACTTTCGTTTTGGTGATGCACAACGACTTTTGTTTAATGTTTATAATGATTATTTAGGGGGGGGGGACTTATTGGGCTACTTTGTATATAATTCAGAAAATTTAAAGAACACAGAAACCCATTTTCCTAAAGCACTTCAATTCTTCTCATACTTCTTCATGAAGTAACAGGAAGAATATATTTATATCTTGGTGATTGTTTAAAAATTAAGACGACGGAGTGTGTGGAATTCCCCCATTTAAACTGTGTCTACTTGATGATCTAAGAGAGGACATTTAAACTGAGCTATACAATGAGGGGCAGTGGTTTTTGTGGATGTTCTCTAATTTTGATTTTAATTCATCATTCTCATGCATGTAAAACTGTCGACAAGGGTAAGGCTTTTAAAACTATTCTATTTTTTAATTAATTTTGTTTAAGATTAACATAGACAATAAACTAATTGATGAATTCTATAGGCCTACTATTAGGATAAAGGGCGTGGCCTTTGCATTTGTACAATAAAAACGGCCCCCAAAGTATTGAATGTGAACATGTAAATACATGAATAAAAAAATCGGTCGTTTAATTAGTTCAGACTAAAACATGAGAATTGTCATTGAAAACATTTCTCTTCCTTGTTTTGACTGATAACATCGGATAGAGACCTCTATAATTGAGATAACACTCATATGTGTATACACAGTAAACTATATCTCCTTCACTACTCAGGCTTAACTGATGATTATTATTATGAAAAGAAGGAAACAATTTCCCATACCAGGGATCATATTCTCACGTCTCACGTAATGAATTTATTATGCTTTGTTTCATTAACTCGCAAGCATTATCTCAAAAATTATTTCACATTATTTAAAACTAATTGAGCCATCTTCCATGGAATAGCATGGATGCACAAAGGTTGGCAAGATCTTTGATCAGTTTTTGTTTTACTCAGTTACTTTCAAGCTTAAAACAATAAATATCTGGTGTATGAAAGAAGGGATGTAATTCTCCAGGATTTTACTTATCACTTTCTGAATGACATGTAGCATTTATGGAATCCTTTACTATGGATACCATTTTCAATTATTACATAATGGTCACATACACGTAGCAGTTTATATATACCTTATTAGCTTATAACCTATCGTTTTTGAAAAGCTAAGATTGTCTTATTCGATCTTTATATGTTTATCATGTGCATCAGTCATGTTCAAAATTTTGAATTTAATGGGGGGTGGGTGTGGGTGTGTAAATATAAAATCTACTTATGCTTTGAATCTTGTAACAATAGATTTGTGTATTGATGAGACCCCGAAGACCTGGAGTGAAGCCTCAGAAAGTTGTAACTTGGTGGTCTCCAACACATCACTCCATGTCGGTGATCCAATCACAGATATCCCTGTTCCCCACAGATCGTCTGCTCCAACCTACACGTCTAAGGATATTCACTGGATAGGGGCCACAGGAACATTCACACCATGGTTTAAATTTGCTGGTGATTTTTTGTTTATAATAAAATATTTGTGATTATTTAATTTTGGTACTCTAGTTGAAGTCCTTGAAAGAGCATGAATACGAAACCGAGCAGATGACAGATGAAAATAAAACTTACATTTGTGATAAAAATGTCATTCAAACAATTTTTCTTCTTAATTTCTATGTTACTTACTAGCCAAATCATCTGATTAAATCGGAAATTATTTGCTTTTTATCAAATGTAAGCTCAGTCTGAAAGGTAGATTGGTTTATAGAAATCTTCATAGCTTTCTTGCTTATGAAAAAAAAAATTATCATGTCTTCCCGTCAATTTACGAAAATATAATTTTTTTTTCCAAGGATGCAACATGTATTTTTACTTTCCATTCAATACACAATGGATGCCCAGTTTAAAGATTGGTCCTGTTGCTCAATGTCATCAATTATGTGAAAAATGGAGAAACACCTACAAAGAATTCGGAATAAACGTAAGTGTATCCAGGTAAGGAGTTATAATATTGAAATAAAAATGTATGACTCAATTTGTTTACACCCTCGAGTGCTAGCAACTACGTTAGTCCAAATTCCTCGAATACGCATGCTTGGCTTCACAGTTGTGCATTCTATGAAAACTGAAAACTACTATAGATAGACCATACGATAACAATTTCGTTGCATCATGTTGTAGCCAATCTTACAAATTCCAGATCTATATAAGAATTTACACTAAAATTAACGAATAAATCCATTATTTACTGTTCGGTATCTCCATATCCTTCTTATATTAAAAAAACCCTGATGTGTATGACTTTTAAGCTAACATTTCTTGACAAAGATGACCCAAAGGATCAAGCTACTTCACATCTTCACATTCAGAAATCTCTGGATTTCTTTATACAACGTACACTTTGAGTTATGTCTATATTCCTTTTAACCCCCCTGTATTTTTTTTTTGCTATATTGCAAAGAAATTCTATTCTTAAATCCGCTCATACAATGCCTCAATCGAAATCTTTTCCATCTTGTCCCTCCTTTCCAGTAAAGGTCATAAATGTTCCGTTTCGCCAAAACTCCAATAGGTCAACACAACTCCCTTTACCTTTGTGTCTATAAAGTACACTTCACAAAACATATTATACAGTTCTTGACTGGGTATGAGGGCAACATATGATTTGTTGGACCTGAAGGTGAAAATGTTGCCCGAGGCCGCAGGCCATTTTCACCTTCAGGTCCAACAAATCATATGTTGCCCGAATCCCAGTCTATAACTCTTTTGTTATACCCTTCACTGCTCAATTAAGATTGATCAATTTATTCAATACACGATATATTATCAATTATTTTATATGGAAAATTATTACTTCTTCAGTAAATATAAAACATCAAGCTGAGCAAGAACAAAATCAATTACATATCTATTGTATTACAAAAAGTATTTATCATAAAAACATACTCTTCCCTTCTTCCTCACCTTGCTGTTAGAAACAACTCATAGCTCTTTTAAAATTTCGGCTATTTCGCGTCGCCGATATTGAACACAAGGTACGTAATTTTATATAGTGAAAGACAGACTTTTTAACAGACACAGTCGGCAGGGGATGCTCACTCCTCCATGGCACCTGATACCACCTCTGATGTTTCGGAGGTCCATGTTTGCTCTTCTCCTATGTTATATTGTTTTCTGGATTTTGACATTGAATACTGTTCGTTATCTTCATATCCTTCACACAAAAAACCAATTTTGAATATTCTCTCCTTCAGGAAAATAATTTTCATCTCAATGCCAGTCTTAATTATTTACCAAAAATAGTTGGATCAGGCCGTAATAGAGTTCAATGTTCTGTCATGTCATCTTATTCATTTGAAGTTATATAAATTTAAAATCTCGTAATTGTGTATAACACATTAAAAATATTTTGAGATAACAAACAGTATTTAAACTTAAAAGTCTATTTAAACAATATATATCAGAAGCAGAAAAAACACCGACTAGTCTATTCTAAAGCGTCAGAGATGATATCGAGTGCCATGGAGGAGTGACCATCCCCTGTCGACTGGTCAAGCCCGCCGTGTACTTGTCAGGATCGGAAGTTAGTGGAACTTTAGTGTTAATAGTGATATAATAATTTTAGTATGAAAACATCAGAGAGCATTTGACTTAATGATAGAATGTATTTGCTGATAAGCAATTGTATAAAATTTAAGAAATTAATACTGTTATCAATTCCGCTATTTCGCACTTCGTCTTGCATAGTTGCTTAAACTTTAATCAGGATACTTATGTTATTATTAATGAATAAGTGTATCCTTTGATATATTACTTAACGTTTAATTATAAACACAATCGAATTGAAAACTTATTTTTCAAAACAGCAAGCGTCTTTTTACATTTATGCCTCCCAACTTATTCGATACTAAAGAACTTGCTCTGAGTATGATCAAGTTTTAAATGCAGGCAGGCTAGTGACAGTTAAGTCGGTGTTACAGGGATTGAAATTACTTTGTTCAAAGTCAGTATTAAATTCTGCGATATGATCAACACACCATATTTACCTTTTCAATTTGATCATTAATATATAGACCAAACATTTAAAGAGATAAAAATACTTTTTGTATAACACATTTAGGCATAAGTGTATTCATGTAAATAAATGGATTTATGTTATCTAAATGTATTCAAGATTGTGTTATTGGGATAGAATGCACTTTACCGGTACGGCCGCCATTTTGATTCTAGATCCGCGCGTGAGAGTGCGCGGCGTAAAAACTTAGCAACGTATCAACTATGATGGGCGACGCCATTTTGTTGTGTAAGAAACTCTCGAAGCGAGAAAAAAAGATATCTAAATGGGTTTTCGCTTTTTTAAGCGGGGGTGTGGGGGCGGGAGCCCCCAATACGTAAAAATAAATAAAACAAACTTACCTTAGTCGTTAGATAAATCTGCGTTTAGACTCGGGGCCATACGTACGTGTCACTATACATGTAGAACCATTGTGTCTTTTTTTTGATGAGTTGTAAATACGTATTTATGGGTGATGAAGGAGATAAACGTCAATTTTTAATTATAGCTACTATCCTAGTGCATTCTTGTTTTAGTAGAGATTTCCTATATAACTGCATGCTGCATTCCATGTGGTCTCAATGATTGTAAAGTATCCAGTGTTTTGCAAATTGAAATAGATAAATTTTAGTTCGTAAATCAAGGATTTACTGCAGCTCTGTTTCCAGAAATCTAAGATGTGTCTCTTACGTTTCATTTTTCTTATACTGCCGATTGCTGTTTCTCGAAACAAGACCGTCCTCACTGCATGTTTACAAGTTTTGCCCCTCCACTTATTCAACATTTCCATAAACTAAGGATCACATTTATCGCTAAAATTTCCAAAAATTCTAGAATGTTGCAGTCAGTCAATTAAAAATATCCATTCATAGAAAACACAACACAAATCACCTTAAATAAGGTGCATGATGAATCACTGTTTTAATACAATCAAAAAGAGTGGAAGTCAAACTTTCTATTTCACGTCACCTACCCTGACCAATCACAGCACTGAAATAAGTCACGTGCTTAACAACGTCACGACTTTGGAATGTGGCCGACAAAATGAAAGCCAAAGGTTTGTTTTGAAAGTGCTTTTAGTTTTAATTAATAACTTCGTTAATTAAACGAAGTTTATTAACATGAAAAATGACGAGGAATTCAAAAAATAGGTTATTTTTGCATTTTATTGCCTTTTTAGCGAAATCGTCACGCTGACGCGTGACTCTCTTATAGAGAAAGAGCACGTGCTATTTCCATGTTATTTGGACGTACCGGTAAAGTGCAGTTGTCCCGGTTATCCGATCCTCAGGTTCTGAAAATTCTTGAGTAATTGAAAATGCTCACAAAGATGTCTTTAAATTCTCAAAGTAAAATGTATTTACTTACGGTGTTTCTTAAAAATTCATCCTTAAATTTAATCATGATATTATATAGAGAAAATTAGCAAATTTCAAATAATTTTTCAGGAAATGTGATTAAAACTGCCTATAGCATATTTTCTAATTGATAATTGATCAAGAAATACATTTTAGGAATAAAATTCATAGATATGCGGGCTTTTATAGAAAATGGCATGATTTTTATACTTATTCAGTACTTTACTCTCTCCTACTTACTACCATCGTTTCATAATGTATAGTGTATGAAGTGTTTCCTTTCAAAGAAAACACCGTTAATCACTTCTAATTTTAAATCATGCTTATAAACATTGGTAACAAAGGCCAAATTAAAAGAGTTTAATTTTTTTAATATGAAAGTTTTACTTAGTTTTATGAGGTACAAATGTCAACTTTCTAAATACCGTTTGTAAAAACTTTAAAGAACATTGAATAATATGTAGAGGCATAAAATGAAAATTGTTGCATGAAAATATTTCAATTTCAAGCTTTATTTTAAGACTTTTTGAATTAAATTTTAAGTTAAAGAGTTATTCGTCCTTGCAGAGGATCAGATATCCTTAAGTCAATTTGACATTGTGTATAATCTTAACCGAGTTTGTTATTTCATTGCAGAAAATCGATTTTGCTAAATTCATTGTAGAAAACTCACTGCTTTTGTGATGACGGTGAAAAAACAGGAAACTTAAAAATGGTGAACTGCAAACGTCAAAATATAGAGAAATTCAAGAATGACTTAATCGGAACTGGTGATAAGCAGGGACATTATGCATTTACCTTGTATAGGAGAGTCAGCGTTAGCACGGAATTAGGTAAAGCTGTCATTCATTGCCTATTGAATCTTTAGTAATTCAAGGCATATTTCATTTAGTTTAATTTTCTTAAAAAAGTAAATAACTCTTCGTTATCTTCAAATTTTCATTCTTTTACTCTGTGACAAAATAGAATGTATATCATTTATTCATTGAATAAATTTCGTTTCGTCACTATTTAAAATAGATGTTTAGCGCAAACAAATCTATGTGTATCATCTTATAAAAAAAATAATAATATTCTTATACAAGATTCAAAAACTTTTACTCAAAGCGTAATACTTTTTCACTTTTGCCCATTTGATTTTTACCTTGTTACAATTTAAATATGATTTTTGAAGACCAGGTCTTCCAATAATAGTTTGAAATTATTCAATAATTGTGTCCCTTATCAGCAGTCGTGTTTGTGTATTCTTACGATGCAGAATATATTCCTAAACATTTATATGAAAAGAAGAAGTCTCCTGGTGTATCATTTAATTAAGATATATCAACGACGTTTCATTTATTACCAATATTTGTTCTTTTATTCACATTTATTCAATATATTACATCGAACTCAAAATTAGACACCGCAGAGTCTGACATATCTGTTTCATATTGGAATGTTTTACTAGAAAAAGCTATCGATGGAAAATAACAATTAAACTTTATGATCAATGTGATGACTTCTTATTCTCTTTTTGATGTAGCAAATTTGAGAGACAGACTATTGACAAAATGTTGAAGATCACAATAACTATTTCCCTAATAATAAAATTTTACCTAGAGAAAAGATTTATCCAGTGATTAAATTTTTCTGAATTATAGCTTGAACTGTGCATACATGTATATATAGTGTTTTAAGAAGATTATTTCTTTTCACAGATGACTTACTAGGAGAGTGTTTGCTGGAGACAAACAAAGGAAATAAGACGTATCCTTGTGATGCTGCAGGTTTGTAGATATAGCCACTCAACTAAATCAATGTATCTGAATTGAAAGAAATCCACTTTAACGACTTTTTCTTAGATATAACAAACCTTATGTGGGATGAACGACAACAAAATAAGATTACTAATGATTCACTTCCAAGATGGACCCCTTACGTACGACGACTGATTATAAACTGGAAGACCGGTAAGAACATTGCATTGACTTCAAATCTTATATATATGTTATGCATAAAATGCCATAAAAACTTTTTTGTATGTTCGATACGACTGACTGACTTTTTTTCATGCTTATTCTTAGACCACTACTTACCCATTTAATTTTCTACGTATTTTTGCCGTTTTTCCCGATCATGAAAAAGTGCACATCAGGTATACTCACTCTCCCATGGCACCTAATCCCACCTCTAATGTTTATTAATGGCTGTGTTTTCTCTCCTCCCAATCAATATTTTTCAATGGACTTGAATACTGTTCGTAATGTCCATACTTTATTTTGTTGCAAGTGTATTTTATGTCATTTGAAGTGCATCGCAATGCAATACTCTAATTACGTACTTCATATCCCCGTTTCAACATATTCTCCATTTTATATACATTCTTTATAGTCCTCCGAAACATCAGAGGTGAGATTAGGTGCCATGAAGGAGTGAGCATCCCCTGCCAACCGGTCACACCCGCCGTGTGCTCTTTGTCATGATTGGGAAATAATGAAAAAATCCGTCGTCTATTCAGTGTATAAATAATTGACTAACAATTAGTATGAAAAACGTCAGTCAGCATTTGACTCAATGATTAATTGTATTTTCTGATAAGGTCATTATATCGATCAGAGAATTTTACGAAATAATGACTTTAAACGAGACTGCTGATATTCTTGTTTCATCAACTTGTTTGTCAATTATTAACCTCCTTTTAGAGCATGCTCTTGAGTATTAAATCAACTGAGATACAAAAAAAATAACTTATTACTTATATAAATTGTAATTATACTTGAAGTATATTTTTATGATTTAAAGGTCAAACATTTTTCTGTTAGCTCTAACATTTGAGTTAGATCATTTTTACCTGATGATAATAACATAGTTTCATATTATCTTGCTTAAGTATTAAGTTGAGATATTTCTTTGTGACTCATTTATAATAAGTTCGTAACTGTTTATCTAAGTTTTGAAACATAGATTACCTTTAGAAATTAAAATGACTTGATGTTCAATTTACAAATACATCTATTTATATTTAAATATTTATCTAATTTTCATGTATTGTATTTTTATTTTTTTATATCTCAAGCTTTTAATTTAATAGATGTAGCCGATGAAAAGATTTACTCTCCTTTATTCAGTAATCCATAAGATACTAAACTTTCTAGATTCTGTCCAGAGGTTTAAATTATCTTTATTTAACTATTTTTGAAAGAAATCTTATCGGACTTCATTGTCTACAGTTTGATATGATTAAAGTTACCAAATTGAAACTATTCACATGGCATCTGATCTCTTCTGGTGGTTCCATGGGCCCTGCTCTGAATTTGAATTGTTTTCATAAAATTCTAAACTTTCACATTTCATTAAAACACTGTGTTACTTTAACAATTTACTTTAATATTTTGGATAGGTAGCAGTGCTGTACAGGACGCTTCAGTATGTATTGGGGTCCGTAACCAGAATGGATCTTATGAAACTCTGCCTTTGCGCTGTAACGAAACTCATACCTCCATATGCAAGAAAGTTGACATTACGACAGGTAACTAAATAATTTCATCTCTTATGTTTTCACAAATTTTTAATGCCCCATACAAGAAAAAAACAATAAAAATGAAGGATGAAATATAAATAAACAAAAAAGTAAAAAAGAAAACAAAAAGGGAAAGACAAATAAACATACAAAAACGTAGAAAAAATCCCCTTAAAATAAAAAAAAAAGCATTACAAAAAAATGAACTAAACTTATGGAATTCCATATACATCAGCCAACTGCTTACTGCCAACTGCTCACAGCTTACTGCCAACAGCTGCTGGATATAGATGATACCGCATGTTTTGCAACCTTTAATATCTTTAATATACATGCTTGAATTAATTTAATGATAGCAGAGATATTACAGTTTTAGCAAGGATATACTAAATCGAAATAAATACAAAAATCGGCGGATTTAGGAATTTTTGAACGTTGAAGTTGAGGAGGGAATAGATAGGAGGACAAGGTATTTCCCTTTAATACAAAACATCTTATTCCCACTGTTTCTTCCAGGCAAATGATGCAATAGATATTTTGACAGAGAGGGAGATTAAAAGTTTATATTTAACTTCAGCAGGGTAGTGGGGCTTAGAGGACTTTTAGCAGGATCTTGCGTACATTTTTTTGGTATCTGCATTTCTTCTAAATACATGTATACTAATAAAATACCATCATAAAAGGCATTTTACTCTATGCCGGGGGGGGGGGTGGCAACGGAAATTCGTTGACAAGTTTAAAGAAGGCAACAGGCATCATTAATGAGGACTGCTCTACTGTATGGTATATGTTGGCAATTTATTAGGACTACCCCTCTCCCAGAACCCCATAGCTTTTACAGTTTTGATATTAGCCATACCGATTTAAATACGGCATATATAAATAATTCACAGGTACTTTTTTAAGCAACATTTTATGATAGTAATCTTATGCGTGAAAAGAAGAAAACATTTGCTGTGACCTTAATGTTAAATATTAAGTTAATGTTAATCTAACAACCAAGCTTTATGATAAACGTGATGACTTTAACTTTTCTATCGTCAACTTCCTTTACTTATGCAGCAATATTAATACCGTCATCATCTGCATACAGAGTTTAATATATATCTTAGTTGATTCGATACGCAAGAGCATGCTCTACGTATGAACAATCTCTAAAACGAGGTAAATTATTGACAAACAAGTTGATGAAACAAGAATTTCAGCAGTCTCGTTTTAAGTCATCATTTTGTAGGTTCTGTGGTCGATACAATGACCTTGTCAGCAAGTACAATTTATCATTGAGTCAAATGCTGACTGACGTTTTTCATACTAATTTTTAGTTCATTATTGAAACACTCAATTGACGACGGATTTTTTTGTAATTTCCCGAACACGACAAGGAGCACACAGCGGGTGTGACCGGTCGTTTAGGGATGCTCACTCCTCCATAGCACCTGATCCTACCTCTGATGTTTAGGAGGTCTGTCTTTACTCAGACGCTGCTTTGTATTGTTTTATGGACTTTGAAATTGATATTGAATACTGTTCGTTATTTCTATATCCGTCATTGTTTCTATATCAAACGGCTCTAATTATCAATGTATCTAAATTTGAAGATATTCACTTTACAATTTACAAGCTATTGAATCCTAGACAATAAAAAAGCAATAAAATTGCAAGTTCTTTCTTGTAGATTTCTATTCTACTTAAGAAATCTACCACATATATGTCCT